CTTTATCATATGTACCGGTGTTGGTTAGATTTCTTATTTAACAAAATATTACATGGACATTTTTTTGACCAACTACTCATACCCTGCAAATAAAGTGGTCTACTTCATATTAAAGAATGTACATTGGTCTCTGAAAGGTTCCAGCATGTATGCCTCTCAAAATGAATATGATGAACAGGCTAAAATAAAGACAGCCCATACAACACACAGCACAAAAGGAAGGAAAGCTCAGTTCATGCAAAAAGATGCACTAATTTTCATTCACCATGTTTTTGTTAGAATCACCTAAAGTCTGAAGTAATTAATTCTAACATTGGTCATCTACCTCTGCCCGATTCACAGAGAATGAAAATCATTAGGTTCCGAGAGTGACAAGATTACCTTTTCAGCAGTAGTTAATATAATACCCACATTTCACAATCATGACTAAATCGGACTTTGATTAATCATCACTGAGGCAATGAAGCAACACGCAGATATGCAAGAGAATGAAAGAATAGTTTTGGCCATACTGGAAGAATTATTTGAGTGTGTATTTTTATTTCAAACCTGCAGGAAGGTATTGCCTGAAATGTTAAGGGAAATAAAACATTGTAAAAAAATTTTGTATTCCTATTTAAAATGACAACCTGTAGAGTCACCATTTATTCAGCAGGGGCATTTTCCTGGAGAAGTTTTGCTGGTGCAATACCTTGTTTGAGGGCACTAAAGGCAGTAACAGTTACATGTTCAGAGCCCTAAGCACTTCTCCACACTGTTGCCCCAACCATGTTGTAACAAACAAGCTTCCCATAAAATCCAGTCTTTTTACAGGTGTAATCACAATCATAAATGTGCTAAAAAGCAACATGATGCAAACGATTATACAGGTTTCTACAGTTGGTCTGTACCACCTGCAATGTCAACTTTAAATAGTGCACATTTTCAGACACAAAGGGAATTTGGAAGGAGGAGAATGGTCTTACAGCTACGCTCATTTACCAGCTAGACATTAGCCCCGCTAATGGTCTTCAGGAAGTCAATGGTGCTCCAAAGATGTTTTAAAGCCAAAAGCAAGGAAAAGTATATGAATTGGTAACTGCACTGTGTACTTTTTCAGAACATTTAAAGTCAGGAAATAAACTGATCATTAACTGTTCTAGATCTTTAAAGACGCAGACAGGCCATTATTCAAACCTTAATGTGGGTAAAGTACAAATACATTTATTCTATTTCTTCCAAACCATAAACCTGAGATACTGAATACACCCAAGATATTTGATTTTGAACTTGAGCCGCAATGACAGTAATAACGACTATGCAAATGGAAAGTTAAGTGGAATTGTCATTGTCATTTTCTCCCCCTTAAGAGAACGGACTAATATTGGCTATCCTGACATCTTGGGGAAAAACAAATGTCTCTAGCTTCATTCTCGGACTTTGACACTATTAGCTCCGCTTGCCACAAACGGGTAGGGATCTGAAAGGCAGTGGAGAAGGGAATGGTTATTACACGGCACAGCCTGCTCCCCTGCGCACACCCCCCCTCCCCCTCCCCTGCTCAGTGCACAAACCCTCATGTGTGCCGTCACTCAGCAAACACACCGTCACAGACAGCGGCAGCAGCTGGCTGGCATCGCTCACAGGCTGCGGGTTTCAATCAGGAGAGGGGGTCCGCTCTGGCTCAGAGCTCTGCACTCGGCACAGCGCACAGAATCAACAGGAGAAACCGGTAAAACTCACAAAATATTCCTATGGCAGCACACGGGGCCTAACACACTTCAGAAGCCTTGTCAAGGGCTAATATTTTGTTTTACTGCTTTAAACAGCAACTGGGGAAAGGCAACCTATCGGGCAGGGCTTGTAACCTTTGAACCTTCTGCTACTCACTGCAGTCACTGGAGAAAGGATGAGAAATTTACAGAACAGCAACAGTGCCAGGCCTGCATTCTGACACCTTTTGGCTAAACCGAAAGAAATGACTTACTTGGACATGGGCATCAATGCATTTATTTTTATTTAACAATGCCCAGTTTAAGAAAACTTCATAAAGCAAATAAGATGCAAGATGTTACAGCGTTTCAGACTAAATGTAAAGGAGTAAAATCACGTCAAGACTAGACAGAAGATCAAACCTCATTGCATACTTTTTTTTAAAGGGCCCAGTGTGTTCTACTAAATTCCAGATTGCACTGGCCTTCATTCTTAGCTGAGACAGGAAGGCCTGATCTGTGGTACAGAAGAAAGTCACCCCACTACACCACCATGTTAGTTTTCAACTAGTAACCTGTCACTCCCATGCCTTGAGTGACAGGTCATTTCTTAATACGTCCACAATACTTAACACGAGGTAAGAAAGAACTTTATAACATTTACCCATCTAACTCAAACCTACACAGCAAAAACTTGCAACTTTTACATGTAACTTTGAATTTTGTGTGCAAAATGTTCCAGTTCGTTACAAACTTTTTAACGATGTTACATTTTTGCAGAAAGGAAAAGGAGGAATGAATCTGCTGGTGGGTCGTACGTGTCACTTACAATGACTCATAAGCCCATCTACTTAATTTTAAATCCAAAGTAGGAGAGCCAGATGTTTACTTCAGCGCCAGCGGACATCGATTCGGCATTAATTCGCAACTTGCTTACGTCGGCTAGATAAGCCTGTTGCTTCTCTCCCCCGTTTCAAATGACCTCAAAATGAGCGCAAAAGCTCTGAAATTTCAGAAGGGGAAGAGTTCTCTGCAACAGCTGACAGGGTCCGTCATGCGCTGGTAGTGGACAACACTAGCCGCGGAGGTCCTGTCTGTTTTACCTATCCATGCCCAGCCCCCATCCGCCGCGGACATAAACATACTTTGTTATCACTCTATCAGCTGTTCTGCAAGTCCCACCTTCTCGCGGCTTCCGGGTAGTAACAGACGGGCCAATCAGAAAGCCCGGGTTCCCACTGCACGCAGACGGCAACAAAACAAGTCCGCGACTCGCACTGGTCTGAGCGCTGCCAGAGAAATTACCAACCTTTCCGAAATGTTGGGAGTTTCGGCGCTGGCCTACACTTCTGAACAACAACGTCACAAAGGAGCTTTGAATTATTTTTAGCCCTCCTTTTCACCCCCGACTCTTAACACCGTGCACCCAGCCATAAACTCATTTAGGGCCTAATTCCTTACGGCTTGAGACCATGAACCCCGCTCGCCAGCTAGCTATTACAACACCGCTCACCACCACGAAAGTTTGAGGGGACGGAAATCATACGCCTGCCAAGATAATACGAGGACAGGTACATTTTAGCGAAAATACTCCAGTACCCGAGACATTAAAAGTTTCAATCGCAAAAAAGGACGAGGCACCGAGTTCCCAGATGTCTTGAAGTGCAGGAGATCTTTGTGTTACGGTGGCAAAATGACTGTTCTTACTAAATCGACTTAATGTGCACCAGTTTCAACAAAACTACTCAAACGTAGGCCATGATAATATTAGTTGTACGTTTTCCGGAGCAGTGTTAAAATACACTGCACATCCAACGTTTTTACCTCAACGACAGCATGTTATGGCAGTGGGTTTAGTGACAGACCCAAAATAAAACACTACTCCCTCCGTGAAGGACTACTTCCGAACTAAACAAACTTCTGAGGAAACGAACGGGTAACTAAGGCCCACTAACACCGGGTGTTAGTCATTCATCGACATTTGTCACGAAAGACAAACTTTCCAAAATAATCCGACAGAGGCAATGGAAAGTTAAAACACGTATGATCGATTATAAGAGACGAAGGCTAGCTAAAGAAGGGGGATGGGGGATGGCATTCACAACAGTGACCAAAACACCCCCACCCAGTAACTTTTTTTGACTGCAAAAGCCAATCTCTTTGAAAACGAACCTCATTTTGATGAAAATGCTCAAATATAAAATAAAAAAATATCGATACCTTTGAGGAAGCAAAAAGAACCATAACCTAACTTCTGCAAAACAGTCATTTTACTACGAAAGGTTAGCACAATAATGTAATGTATGAGAAACGCCTAATTTGATCTCACTTCCTATGATTCACGAGCTTAATATAAACTTACATGTTTTTCTCTCTCAAACAGCAGGTCAGGGCTGTTACATGGTACAAAAAAAGTTCGCTTTGAATAAAACCTACCTTTTCACCTTAGCACGATTTCCTGGAATTGCAAAATAAAGCGTAATTAATTCCTGTCCATTTTGAAACGACGATTTGTGTTGTGCCCAAGAAAAACAGAGATAAAGCTAAACCCCTCAGGGTACCGTCCTGCTTATGAAATCAAGTGACAAAACGCTACGAAATTAAGCATTTCTCACTATTAAAATAAAACACTTAATGGCGAACAGGCAACAGTTGAAAATATTTCCAAATAACTGGGCCTATTTGACGTCGTGTTTGGTCCTCTCCACCAAAAAAACTAATGACCTTGCTCTCGAGAGGGTACCTTAAATACCGAAAACATGATAAATATATTACATAACTTAATATTTAATACAATTGCTGCTGTGCTTTAAGTCTAACCCCCCCCCCCTAAAAAAATCGCAGCTAAACATTAGGACTTAATACATTCAAGAGCACATAAGACATAAAATAAAGACTTGACTGGATCTGCAACACAGAGGTAGCTATTGTTTTGATTTTAATATTAATACAGCAATACCTGGCTGAAATAAGTCTTGCCAATTTAAAAAACAATAAAACGTATACAAAGAACAATTGGTGCTCAGCAGAACATTCTTATCTACGGTTCGCGAATATACTCTCTCGGCGTTTTTCTGGGAAATTATTAGCCAAAACAGCATTTTTCACTTTTGTTGTCACCAAAAAGAAGATCTCAATATCCTTAGCTTACAAAGGTCCACCACACTCTCACACAATACCCGTTTTTTAAAATGCAGGACACGGAATCGCAGGATTGTGGCCAAAGAAACGGCTGTCATTGAGATTTCAGATATTAAACGCAAAAATCTTTTCTTCTCTTTTCTGTTGTTTATGTTATGAAAAGGATACAGTTTCACCACGTCGGTATCCATTCGCCTTTTACCCGGACTTGGAGACGACATTTTTATATTCCTCTGCAGGATAACAATGCAAGAATCTCCTCCGTCCGACGCTCGGTTTGTTGACTATGATATTTGCGCTCCTTATTAGCCCTTTTAAATCTGTGGTTATATGAATTCTTTCGAGCCCCCCTCCACTCTCTCTCCGCTGCAATTCCTCTCAGTCTTGGCCCCCCCTATCTCTCTCTCTTCTGCCTCTCTGTCCTCCTGAAGCTTCTATCCCTCCGCAGATGACGTCATCCCTCTGTGACAGCGCCTGTGTGGGTAAGAGGAGGGGTGAGCAGCGAAACGCTCAGAACGAATTGTCCTCTGGGAAGTGTAGTCAGTGAAGAAGAAAAAAATACAACGCGAGCTGCTTTGTCTTGATCTGCAGACCCTTTCAGCAGTGCAAAAACACCAGGAGTACACAGTTTGGTGTTTCACTCAGTATGAACACAGACTGCGATATACTTCAGGTCAAATTCACAGATGTTCCGATGGCATTTCTGTTTGTGCCAAATCAAAATGAGGCTTGATGGCTTTGAGATAAATGCACTTAATTTGAAGACAGTGTACACGCCTAATTAAAACTCAGCTTCAAAAGGTTTTGGGAAAAAACATTTCATTGTTATTGCTTATCATTGGATGGTTGGATTATTATTGGAACAGTACTATAATGTATCCAGCAATTGTTTTCACAGCGCTGTGCTGGCACACATGGTATTATTTCAGTTTTTAAGAAATAAAGTCAGAGAGTGAAAAAAGAATGTTCACTGCGCTGCCATAAAAACACCCCACTGATTGTGAACAACCTTCATCAGCCCATATTTGACATGGAATACTTGTAATTTGATTCAATAAACATGTTCCATGTACTAGAACTCCCCACAGAAAGAAATGCCTGTGAATGCCTACAGTCATTCTCCACTTGCATTCTTGGGGGTCTTCAGGCCACTTTTTAAGATTTATAGTGGTCTTTTGTGTTGTCTTTGTCAGTAATGTTTAGGATCCTAAATCTCTCGCAGGAGGCACGGCAGTGGAGTGGTTTACATTGCGGTCTCAGAGAGCTGGGGCCCTGGGCTTAGTTCTGGATCTGGGATGTTATCTGTGGGTTTGCCCTGGGTGCTCTGGTTTCCTCCCATTGTTCAGAGACATACTGGTAGGTAAACAGCTTCTGTGAAAACTGGTCCTGGGGTGAGTGTTTGTCTCTGTGTGTGCCCTGTGATGGTCTGGTATCCCATGCAGGGTGGGACGGAGCGGTGGCTCTGTGGCTAAGGATCTGCGCCTGTGACTGGAAGGTTTCTGGTTCAAATCCCGTGGCCGGCAGAGGAATCCTACTCTGTTGGGCCCCTGAGCAAGGCCCTTAACCCTAACTGCTGTATAATGGCAGACCCTGCGCTCTGACCCTGATCTTCTCTCCCTGTCTGTGTCTCCATGGAGAAAAGCTGGGGTATGTAAAAAGATGAATTCCTAATGCAAGAAATTGTATAGGGCTAATAAAGAAACATTATCCTTATTATTTAACTCACTCCAGACTGTCTCCCCGCGACCCTGTATCGAATGAGTGATTAGAAAATGGACAGATGAACATCTAGTGTAAATCAAGGGCTCACATCGTATCCGCTGTTCAAAGCTAGAAGATCATTGATACAACTGAAGACTGGCAGGCCTAAAACCGAGTACACTGATTGCACGGACTGATCCAATAATTGCCTCATTACGTTTTGAGGTTTCTCCCCTTAGTCATACTCAGTCTTCTGTGTATGGTGAGTCTTGAGAAGCTTTGTTAGGCCACATATGTAGCAAAATATTTAGTACGGCCCATCCTATTGATATTCATTTCTAAAGAAGAAGTGGGTAAGAGTGCTGTAGGAGTGAAGATTCAATTAACCGCCTGAAATTCTGTTGAAATGCCTTTTGTAGATGTACAGTATGGGATGTGCTTGCAGAGATCAAACCCACCAATGTAAGTGCCCCTTGATCTGTTTAATCAAAGCAAAGGGGGTAAATTCACAAGACAGAAAAGACTGGCTTTGTCTAAGCCACAAAATAAAAATACAAATGGAATTGTGATAAAGGAAGCAAAAGACAGTGAGTACTGAAAGATCACTTCTGCATTCAGAAAATATCATTCTGTTAAGACAATTCCTGAATTGATTTATTTTCCATTGAATTCAATACATGAATGTAATTTTAACCCTATTACACCATTCTTTATTTTGCTTAAATTACTGTATACAGTGCCTTCAGAAAGTATTCAGACCCCTCCACTTTGTCCACACTTTGTGGTGTTGTAGACTTATTTCAAAATGGATTGAATTGATTCTTTTTTGCCATCAATTGACACACAATACCCCATGATGACAAAGTTAAAACACCTTTTTAGGAAGTTTTACAAATCTATTAAAAATAAAAAACTGAAATCTCCCATTTACACAAGTATTCAGACCCTTTACTATGACACTCCAAATTGAGCTCAGATGCATCCTATTTCTTTTGATCATCTTTGAGAAGTCTCTAGAACACGAAATGCAACTTTGAAAATGTAATTCTCTATATTATTACCCTGAAATTAAGAAGGGTACAGTAAGCACAGCATCAGAAAATCATTTATTTTTCAGATGCTATTCACCAAATGCTCACAGACAGCAAAAGAAGTTGCAGAACTATTCTTCAGCTTCCCCTGTGGGCATCTTACAGTCTTATTTTCCATTAAACCCAAACAATCATATTGAATAAGCAGTGACAGAATGCCTGAAGCTTGGGGCTAACAACTCCCACAAAAATTTTGAGGATGTGTTTAGTATACCTCCTACACAATGACTGAATATTCACTCAAACACACACGCACACCCTCAAAAGCATTTTAATGAGTAAGGCAACAATACCATTTTTGGTCACAAGTCAAAAACCAGACAGAGTGCCGTGACAATTACCTGTTTAATCACGAGCCCCTGGGAACACCCCACCTGTCCAGAGTAACACCAGGCTTCATTTAAAATGCGACTGGCTTTGTGCATGTGTGGTCTAACAGACGTGCGCTGCACTATTCAGTGTCTGCGTTCAAGGGGCACGATGCCAGACGAAACTCAACAGCAGCTCACGGAGGTGTATGCACCACGTCATGCCACAGAAACACGTGTGACCGTGGTGCCAGAGGAGCAACAGTCTGAGTGTTCTGGTGCCTCCTTCTCAGAAGAAAACATTAGCTGCATTGAAGGCATGACTGGAAACACAGACACAGGATGCTTGCTGTCTTCTTTAATCTGATCCAGTGTTTCACTGGGTACATTGCAGTACATCATTAATAGTAACTTAGGCCACAACAGTGTGTGCACCTGATGGGTACCAGATCATCTCACAGGTGTTCACAAATCAATGTGAATGAATTGGGCTCTCTCTGATGCTTTCAACGTGTTAAATCTAGAAAGCAGCTATGCAACAGGAGCTGAAATGTACAGTAGCTGCGTCATGTGGGAATGCTGCATCTGAAACCACCATCACAGGTTATCCCTTGGAGCCAGTTAGAAACTGATAGCACTTGGCAATAGACAGTTAAGTCCTGGTGTCAGGAGCTTGACACAGACATTTGTGCTACTCAGGGTTTGTTGAACTGGTGTCACGGTGAGACAAAAGCCTGAAGATTTTTGGAGAACACGTGGGAAAGTAATTTGTATCAAGGTCTCCATCCATCCATTTTCTAACCGCTTCTTCTAATTCAGGGTCATGGAGGAGCCTGACCCTAACCCAGCAAAAAGGGGCACCAGGTAGGGTAAGCTCTGGATGGGTCATCAGTCCATCATAGGACACATGCAGACGTAGACACACACTCACACCAGGGCCAGTTTTCTCAGAAGCCAATTAACCTGCCAGTGTGTCTTTTGGAATGTGGGAGGAAACTGGAGAACTTGGAGGAAACCCACACAAACGCATGGAGAACATACACACTGCTAACCATTGCATCGATGTGGTGCCTATCAAGGTCTCCCTAGTGGTTATACCTGTAGCTGTGTAAAAATACAGCTACTGGAGTGCTAGTTCACATACTCATAGGAATACCTTGTACGTATGTGTATTCTAATGTATGCAATTACTGTTTTTACATTTTTTAACCCGGGAGCTATTTTTATACCAACCTCTCAGTTGTCACTTACTGGTCATCAGATGCTGCTTTCCCAGGGAAAGAGCCTCACCAGCACTTTGCAAATAACAATTTTGCCACAAAGATGATCTGACTTATCAACACCTAAAATCGTATGACCTCAGTGTGCTCTCTGCTCTCATCTTTTTTTCATTTTGCAGTTTTTATTAAGTGTGTTTAATTGCTGCCTCTGAAAAATAAAGAAAACTGCACAGCTTTTCAGATTGGTCCTTTCAGAGCCTGTCTTTACACTAATGTGTGCAATAAAAGGAAACACAGAGCCCCTGTCGAGTGAGGTGAGCAAGCATTGCTGTGAATCTCTTATGAGCTGTACAACTGCACATTCATTATTTAAAGAAGCACTTACCAAAAAAAGGCATCTCTGTTAACAGTCAGGGAAAATTATTTAAATCTATCATATTGTTGAATTTTTTTCCTTTGTAGCAACAGAAATAGTTTAGCTGCAGAAATTGAAACAATTGTAGTGTCTTTTTTGGCATTTCTTATACAGAGTAGCAATTCAGACAGGTTAATTGCCACAGTGGCAAGTCTTTACCAGTTTGCAAGCTATCTGCTCACTCTAGTGCATATCTAAAGATAATGTTTTACGCAGATGCGACGTTTTAAACATCTGCAGGAAGCAAGATGAATTCATTGCTGATAGAAACTGCTTTTCACTAACATTTATGAGATATATTTGTTTAATTCTAAAACAGGACGTTTCAGGTATTGGCTTTTTTTTCTTTCATTCAAAACCTTTCACCGTCTCAAAGTATCGAAGTTGTTTTATTGTGCCATCTAAAAACAGATGAGTTCTGCAGCATCACAGCAAAAAGGTGTTAATTCAAAATGTTGACATATTGATATGTAGACATGGAGTTGAAAGCTGAATGACGGGTAACCTGTAAAATAAAAATACAAACTCAGTTCTTTGAAAGACAGTCTCACAAGCTGTGAACTCACTATGATCACTTTAACGGCATACAGACTATTTTGAAATAAACAGTGAATAGTATATTTGCGGTTTTATTCACACCTGCATACTAACCAACCCTTTTTTCTTTTTAAAGTGATAAGTGTGGAAAATCTTTTTGTTACAATATCTCATTGTTTCTT